CTTTTGTAAAGACATTCAACTTCCTGACAGTAAAACAATATATTTAACTAAACATAGAAACAAATATATAATTTTATATATAAAAAATACTTGTAATATATAAACATATATCTAATTGTTCTTTGTAGTTTCAAAAGCAGTAATATGAGTAGCTTCTTCATTTTTACCAAAATTTTTATTAAACCATAATTTCTAATTTTTATTTTCATTTAATTAAGGAGAATACAATTTATTTTGGAGGGGGCGGTAACTGGGGATTGAACTCAGGGGCACTAAGCCACATGCCCAGCCCTGTTTTGCATTTTGTTTAGAGACAGGGTCTCGCTGAGTTGCATAGCACTCGGTTTTGCTGAGGCTGGCTTTATACTCGTGATTACAAGTGTGTGCCACCACACCTGACAAGGAGAATCCAATATATTTAAGTTTGGTGATTACTTCTCAATTTAAACTTGTCTTAGTTCAGGCTGCTATAACAATGAGGCCATGGATTAGGTAGTTTAAGCATTTGCTGGATGTGGTGGTGCACACCTATAATCCCAGTAGCTCGGGAGGCTGAGGCAGGAGGATAGCAGGTTCGAAGCCAGCCTCAGCAACAGCAAGGTGCTAAGCAACTCAGTGAGACCCTGTCTCTAAATAAAATACAAAATAAGGCTGGGGATGTGGCTCAGTGGTTGAGTGCTCCTGAGTCAATTCCTGGTACCTGCCCCTCAGTCCCAAAAAAAAAGCACTTATTTCTCAGTTTTGGAGGCTGAGAAATCCAAGATGAAGGTTCCAGCAGGTCGAGTATCTGGTGAGGACTAACTTTCCAGTTTGTAAATGTCTGTCTTCTCATTATACATTGTGCAAGGCAGAGGGAAGAGATAGTGGAAGCAACTGCTCTCTCTTTTTTTTCCCCCCAAAAGCTCTTCCTTGTTTATTCTTTCAAGGACACTAATCCCATTCATGAGGGCTCCACTCTCATGACCTAATTATCTCTCACAGGTTCCACCTTCAGACATGGTAACACTGGGGATTCAGCTTCAATATATGGATTTTGAGAGGACATAAACATTCACTCTACAGCAAGAATATATTCACTCTGTGCCTTATTTAAGGCACCTCATTAAGGTTTTCTTTCATAGGATTTCACAAGTTCTCAGTCTAAAAATTTCTGTGCAGCCTGGAAAAGTTAAATGTGGAATCAACAAAAGAGCCCAAGCTTTTCAATCTTTGAGAACCACATGGTCTCTATCAAAACTACTCAAGTCTGCTACTATATTATAATAACAGCCACAAAAAAATATAGACAATGACTATGGTTGTGTTTTAGTAAAACTTCATTTACAAAACAACCAATGGGACAGATTTGACCTGCAGACCATAGTTTGATTACCCTTGAATTAATCCATTGTCTGATTAATGTATCATCTTAAAGTAAAATATGAAACATAGTATAAATGGTTTAGTTATATTTCTTTTAAATCATCTTTTTAATATATATTTTAGTTTAATATATACTATTTGATCCTAAACCTCTGAACTGTTCTAATGCTTATAATGCCATAAGTTCTTACTAAACAAAATAACCAGTTGGGGTAGGACAGGGGAGGTAAAAGATAATTTGAGATACTTATTAATTACTGTGTAAGGCAGGTAATACTTGGTAGTATTCTGTATAAATTTCACATTTCTTTTATGGGGAAATCTATCTTATTGTACATTTTATTTTTATATATGTGTGTAACAATTATTTTCAATTATGTGTTTCCATTCTTGCATTTCCTTGTGTTCTCAGTCTCTCATTCCTCTAATTAAACATTATGTTCTCATTTTTGCTTTCCCCTTAGAACATAGACCACTTAGATAGACACCTTACCTTTCAAAACATAAGATTCAATTGATCAGACCAAAATCTCTTACAGTATAGTTTTCTAAATATTTTTTGAATACATCTTTCCCCACCTTGAAAACCCATGAGAGTAAGCAGTAGGATTTTGTATTCCACACTTCATTAAAAATATCTTAAATTTACCCATTTTGAATAGGCACAGGGAAAGAGTATAGAGAAGGATATTGTTTTCATTCCACATGAATTAGTATTTTTTCTGTATTGCAAACCATTTATACCACAGTAGTCTCCATGCTTATTATCCACAGGGGATATGTTTGTTCCAAGACCTCCCCAGTAGATGCTGGAAATCTCTAATAGTACCAAACCCTATACACACACACACACACACACACTGTGATTGTTGATCTGATAACCAATAAAGCTACTAAATGACTAGACAGGTAGCATATGCAGCATGAATATACTAGTCAAAGGCATGATTTACATCCTGGGCATAATGGAGCAGACAATGAAAGATTTCATGATGCCACTTAGAACAACAAACATTTAAAAACTTAAATTGTTTATTTCTGGAATTTTCCATGTAATATATATTTTCAGCTGCTGTAAACTGAATGTAATTGAAAACATAGAGAAAGTGAAACTGCAGATAAGGGGATTTCTATACCTTCTAAGATATATTGCCAAGTTTGATGACTTCTTATTAGCCAAGTCCTATGGGTCTTGTGCTAGTTCTTATACTCTTAGATTCCCTTAATTCAATTTGCCAGCTGGCCTGTCCTCAAGTTTTATTAATACTGGGATGTGATTCTTTTTCCTTGCATTCAGTTTGATCTTTCAGTGTTATTTTCAGAAATATATTTCTTCCTCTTTTATCAACTAATAATTATAGCACTATTCTCTTTGCCCTCTAAACTGTCATCCTAAGGGAGTTTTCCAATTTTCATTTATATTTTACTAGTGTTTTAATTTGATGCCAGTGCTTGCTTCCTTACTTAATTCTAACTTAATCTTAAAGTATTACCACCTGGTTGATGGTTGCATCCTCCTCAAACTGAAGATCATGAGTACACAATAATCTCACATTTTATTTTCAGAATCCTCACTGTTGATCTGTTAGTCTGCCCATCAAACTTCTCCTCTAAAATAAAAACAATACCAGTGATTTATCTGTCTTCATGATCTATTTTATACTATTTTATTACTGACATGTCTATTTTATACTGTTTCCCCTTTTTTAGCTCAGTAACTCGTTAAGCATGATAGATTTCATTTCTCTTCACTGCCAAATCCCTTTACAATGCTCTATTCTTTTCCAATGGGATTACTATATATTTCTTTAAAACTTCTCCATTTTCAGTTTCCATGCTTTTAATCATGTATAAAATCTCAGATCAATTTTTTAATCTAAAATTAGTATTTTCCCTCTTATCATTCTATTCAACTATCCACACCCATACAAATTCCTTAACATTAAATAGTATTTTCTAATTTCCAGTATTCATTAACCTAAATTACTTGTATATGTATATAATGAGGCTAGCACTGATCCCTGTCTTCTCTTGAGCTTTTAATCAAGCAATAAATACATAAAACAGTTTGACTTCACTTTTCTTTCTCCTAAGTGAACTAGAATATACTGAATTGTATACAGCCAATAAGCTATGAGTAACTGACTAGGCATGAAGAGCTGTATATTATCACAGTAGATTTCATTTATGCAACAAATATTTTCACTAACTGCTTGCTAGTATTGTAGACACTCATAATAAATACAGAAGTGAATAATATTAAGTGGGAAATATTAACTGGGAAAGCCAGGCCACTCAATACATTAACAACCAGACAAGTTTGAACCCATAGGACCTGTGCTACTTCTCACGTGGTAGACACTAGCTACATGCAACTATTTAATTTCAAACTTAAATTAATACAAATTAAATTTAAAATTTAGTTTCTCATTTGCAATTAGCCACATTTCAAGTATAGCCTCATGTGACTACTTACTACTGTATGTGACTTTGTAGATATAGAATATTTTCACCAACATAGAAAATTCTCTTAGCACTACTTTAAAGATATTGCAACAAATATGGAAAACTAAAAAGCTTGATCCCCTAAATAAAAGAGCTAGCCAAAGTTCAGAGTGCCAAAAATGTAGTCTCTATGATCCAACTGACTTTTTTTAGTAGCTTTTTAACCACAATTTATAATTATCTCTTAATAATTCTGGACTCAGTTGGGTATATCTCATTTGGGGTCTCACTTGTGGTTGCAATTCATTGTTAGCTTGAAGCTGTAGCCATCAGAAGACTTGCCTAGGCTGTATGTCCTAGCAGGCACCCAAGGAATCTTCACACACACACAAAAATCCCAGATGATCCAGGTATATGGAATTACTCTATAGATTATACAGCAGAAGTACCTTACAAATAAATACCAGTCCGGACATTCCTGTTTTTTAGTTATTTTTTAGTTGTAGTGGGACACAATACCTTTATTTTATTTTATTTTTTTTTAATGTGGTGCTGAGGATGGAACCCAGGGCCTCAAACATGCTAGGCAAGTGCTCCACGGCTGAGCCATAACCTCAGCCCTACCATTCCCATTTTGAAGAGCACTTTTGTGGGGTTTTTTTTTTTTTTTTTTTTAACAACTTTCTAAATGGCCTGCCAAGCACTACTACTCTTAAAAAATAAGTTTTTTTACAAAAAGCCTTAAAAGTTACTCAATGTTTCTTTCCTATTTTTAAATTCTCTTGTGGGAGAGAGTTATGTTTTGTTCTTAAAATAGTAAAATGAATAAAATTTCAAATAGTACAGAAAAAAACAAGTTTTTTAAACTCACCTGATAGAAGGAAATGTTATATAATACACTTGTAATTCATGGTGACATGTTCCTAATTTTATGTACTAAATATTATACTGACACTAGACTAGAAATTCTCTAGTACAGGTGGTAAACTCTTGGAAAGCAGAGAGCAAGACTTTCTAAAGTTCTGGACTCTCCTAATAATCAGCTTCTCACTTCATAGCATTCAAATTTAATTAGTACCACAGGATCTACAAGTATTTAGTAAATGTTGATTGATGATCTACATTCATCTACTCTAACTTACTCCTTTTTTTCTGTTCTTTTTTTCTGATCTTATTTTCTCTTTACTTAACAGACAGTGTGGAGCATTCATTATTAAGACAATTGGGCAGCTCTAGTCCAGCTCAACTGATTTCTTGTCCAATGATCCTTGTGTGACCAAGATCCAGCTTCAAGGAACCGGCTAGAAGCTGCCCGTTGTGAAACTTAGGGTTAGTTAATAACTCACAATACTTTTTTATTCCACTATAAGCTGTCTAAATTTGATGAAATTTGCTTTTTCAGCTGTTTTAAGAAATTATTTAGGTAGATGTGGTATGTTTTTTATGTGTTAATCTAACTGTAGTGACATTTTCTACATGTTTTATCCATTCATAAATAATAACCACATTGGGAATAGTGAGGTGTCTTTCATTTTCTCTGCTTTGTGTTATTTTTCTTCTCAGTCTTTTAGATACTATATTCCATATCCTTTTATATTTATTTTAATTAGGATAAGAACCATTTCTAATTCTAATAGAATTCTAATACTTCCATAACTTTAGAACATAGTATATTATTTAGCCTTTATGATTTAGTCTTATTACTTTGATATTTTGTAATTTAATATGCTTTCATCTAATTTTTTATTTGTTACTGCTACTTCTTATTTAACTTTGCTTCCACTGTGGTTTTCAGAATTTAAATAGTATTTATACTTCTTTTATTATAACATCTTCTAAATATTAGAAATATTACCAACATGGTCAATATTCTTGGCTTTTCATGTGATTAACTGTATTAAATTTTTCTCTAAGGTTTGAGAAAATACTATAACCCTCCTATAACATCATCCATTTGATAACAAATTTTACATAATATAGATTTACATCATAGAATTTTGAGAAAAGAAGGGCTACCTCTAACATGATCCTGTAACATTGACTGACAGTCCACTATATTAATGTTCTTAGAATGCTTTAATCTTGTTACCACCTTATTTTTTACCAATATATCTATGTGATTAACTTTTAAAAAGATAATTAAATGTTTTCATAAAATACAAAATTATTTCTTGCACTAAAGGAAAACTTTAGGTTCTGACTCTAAAGCCAATTCATAATATAAAATTGGAATTGGAGCGAGGGGTAGTTGTTGAAAAGACACAGAACACATCATAAGCATTTTTAATTACTAAAATTTCTGTAGTACTACAAGAAATGTCCCTTTTATTTTCATTTACAGTTCTTTCATTGACCCCTAATTTTAGAAAAGAAAGAGGAAAGACTAAATATTGGCATGACCCTAATAATTTAACTCTTCCCTGTCCTATTCCAACCCTAAATGTTTTCCATGCTCAGCAGCAGCAGCAGAAATGACAGGACATAAACCCTAAAGTTCTTTCCCAGTGAGTCAAATAGAGTGTTTTTTTTTTTTTTTTTGAAACCATAATGAATATATTTGCCAATCAAATGGTTTCATGAGAATAGTAAGACCCTATGAATGTATACTAGCATACAAGGATCTCATGTACATTAATTACCCTCAGTTTTAGAAATGTAAATAGACTAATAAGTCCCATAATGAAATTTTGAAAGTTTTTGTTCTGTAAGTAAAAATATTATTAAACACTGATGTTAGAGATTTTCTTTTAATAGCACTCTCCTTAAGAACAAAAAAGTTAATGTTTTGATTTTCAAAATGTTAAACATGATGCTAAACAAATCCTGGACTGTTAATAAAAAAATAATAATGTATTATTGGGCAAGGAATTTTGATAATAATTGATACCTAAGTGTGTTTTTCCACAGTTATATGGAATATATGCACACACATAAACATTATATACATACATATAGATTGTATGTATACACATGCACATTTATATGTACACACCCATATATAGTTCCTACATGTATATTTTCTTAGAATTTATCTTTATTTTTGAGACTAGCAAAAACTTTGGACTTTTTTTTTTTTTTAGTTTTATGTGGATACAATATTTTTATTTTATTTCTATGTGGTACTGAGAGTTGAACCCAATGCCTCATGTATGCTAGGCAATAACTTTTATCACTGAGCCACAACCCTAGCCCCCTTTGGACTTCATTGACAATCTAAATGTATGGATGGTATACGTCCTTTTTATTTATTTATCTTTGTATTTGGTATTAAATCTAAGGCACTTAACCACTGAGCTAAGACCCCAGTCCTTTTTATTTATTTTTATTTTTTTGAGACAGGGTCTCCCTAAGTTGCTTAGGATCTTGCTAAGTTGCTGAGGCTGGCCTCAAAATTACAATCCTCCTGCCTCAGTCTTAGAGTCACTGGAATTACTGATGTGTGCCTCCATACCCATCTATCCATCCTTTTTATGGCCTAGTGTGATAGCCCTAACACATTACTTCTATAAACAGATGAATTAAGGGGATGAAAATTCTCACACACACTAAGTGAAGCCCATTGTTACTTTTCTATTTTTGTAGTATTTCATCAATCAATAATTTTTGAAAAGTAAGTGTTTACTTACTTAATACCCATATTGAAAAGCCAATCTAAAGAAATTATCCGAAATTCACTGTTTTAAAGTGAAACAGATGATGCAAATATTAGTACATGTACTAAAATCACAAGGTAATGACTTTGCAACCTGTTTTTCCAAAATATCTAATGCAACTGAATACAAAAGGATCTTGGAAAATTAAGACTTTAACTTCTTCTGTCAGCTGATTTCAGGATAGCTTGGAAAGAGGTATGATTTAATTTATAAAAGTTTTATAAATTTCCACCAACAATGGCAGTACAATATTTTTGAACAAATTTATACAACTATAAAATAAAGAACAGGGTCACAAAAATTCTTTGTATTTTTCCCAGAAATTCTGCCTACATAACATTAAAATACAGAGTCAAAGGATTGAAAAGGACTTTAGGAGAGCATCCAAATTCAACTTAAGATATCATGCTTCAATGTGCTCTATTGTTATAGTAAGTCAATGTCCCCTGGACCTATACTTTGACAAAATTTATTCTCGAATCCCTGAAGACTTAAAAAGGGCAAAAGAAAACTTTTTACCCAAAAGGTGGATATGAATAATGTTCATGCTGGTACTGTTTATTTCAACTTAATTGTTTCCATCTCTGTTCATACCTCCCTAAAAAGATGTTTAAGTTTCTATCCTTCCATGTTGAATACCACTCTGATTACCAGCTACAAGGGCTGCTGTTTGTTGGACCTGCTGTATATTTCTTGTCTCTTTGCTTTTATAGATTGCATAAATTTTGTATTTTCTATGTTCTACTGGATCCTTTCAGAAATCAAGTGCTATTCAAGATTACTTGTTTTATTTCACATTGTCATTTTTTTTTTATTTTCCCTTTCCATGTGACATTATCCTTCACTTTTCCTTATATTAGTTTTGTGGTTATCTTGATATCACCCACTTTATGCCCTGTCAGGATCTGAAAATATCACTGGCATAAATTTCAAACTAGTGAACAGATAACTAGATAACAGACTTCTAATCTTAATCATTAGTATTAACTGCGAGGCGCAGTGGCTCACACCTGTAATACCAGTGGCTCAGGAGGCTGAGGCAGAAGGATATTGCAAGTTCAAAACCAGCCTTAGAAACTTAAAAAGGCCCTAAGGAATTTGCTGAGACCCTGTCTCTAAATAATTAAAAATAAAATGTAACTGTGGTTAAGTGCCCCTGGGTTCAATCCCTGCTACAAAAAATAAAATATTATCAATATAATTGCCAAGGTTGATTATAGTTAACTAAAAATACATAGTAAAAGGCTGAATAGTTATTTTATTTAAGGTCTCACTTGTGATATATTTACATCTTATATTTTAAATGTGTAAACATTTTAAATCTCCATCTATTGATTTGTCTATTTTCCTCATTTGATAACATATTTTTTAGTTAAGAGAAGCCAAATTTTGATTATTTAATAATATTTTAGGGTGATTTTCTTAGTAAAGCTAGTATGTTAACCTCAGTTTTTCATTTCTATCAAGCTATATACCTGTAGAGTAATTGTTATTAGTATTTTAATAAAAGTGATATGGGTCATACACATCTCCTTGGTATATTTCGTCCCTTTGGAAAACAGAGGGTATGAGAAACAATCTCTCTCTATATATAGACTAAAGCCCTTCCTTTCTCTGCCAACTTAGGGTCTTCTCCTCACTTCAGCCCTTTTACTTACTGTTTGCTCATCAGAGAAAATCTGGATGATCCTAGATTATTTTCTTCCGCATTTCCTCCTTTGTTAGATAAAACATCTCTTGTGGGGGAAATAATGCTTTTAGGAAATGATAGTTTTTTAGTATTACTTTATAAGACAATCAAGTTTCTTACCTGAAGTATAAAGGCTTAGAAGTAACTGCACCTTACTTTTTAGCTTTTATTTTGTCCCATTACTTACCACTGGCAAGTTTTGTGGAAGTCTCTCTAAATCCTTGTCTCTTGTCTTTGATAGGCTTCAGTAGTCTAAAAAGCAGTTTTCCCATTGGAAAATTCCAAGCTAGAACCTAAACTGCACTCTTCCTGTCCCATGAGTTGACTACTATTTCATGATCCTACTAGTTAACTCTTCAATCTGGGAAATATTTGGTCTACCCACCTTTCCAGCTTTTGTTTTTGTACCAGGGATGAACCCAGGGGTGCTTAACCATTAAGCTACATCCCCAGTTCTTTTCATTTTTTTGAGATGGGGTCATGTTAAGTTGCTTATGGCCTTACTAATTGCCGAGGCTGGCTTTGAACTTGCAATCCTCCTGTCTCAGCCTCCTGAGCCACTGGGATTTCAGGCATGCACCACCAACACGCAGCCCCTTCCAGCTTATTCTCCAAGTATCATATTCTTTTTTGAATCAGTTTTTTTTAAAAAACTCAGTGTTCTGATGATGAGAAAGACCCACCTTCATTCTGACTTTTCCCCTTGCTAGCTACTAGCCGTTTAAGGAACCTCTACTTTTATTTTGGGTTGAATTTCTCTAAATTTTTAAGGACTTCTGAGTCTTGATCTACCTAGTTCATTTAATCTTCTTGACTGAAAATGATAGAACTTAAGGATATGTATTATATACCCATTATTTGTATATTGTCTCTCATCTTTCAAATAACCCAAGTAAGCACAGTATTGTTTAATATTAATAGTTTTGCCCAATTCCAACCATATTACAAATGATTTAAACTCAAAGGATATTCCCATTTTTAAAAATGCCCACAAGGAGCTAAATAAATTCTAGATTTGGAGAAGTTCTCAAAAGCAGGAGAGTGGGGGGGGCGGGGGGGAAGTATCCTTCTCTGCCTCAACTTTCCTAAGAAAAAATTAGTGACAATGCCAATTAACCCAAAAGGTTTAATCCAGTTTGGTAGAATTTTCAACAATATAACATAACTTGAAAAAAGTCAAGCAAAATGGAGAAAAGATATGTGGACTAAAAATCTAGTTTAAATGAGCTAATTTGTATTTAAGATTGCCATTCTTGTTTTTCACAACTTCTTTCCTTCTTCTATTTCTGAACCCCTTGGTACAAGTTTTTCAGTTTCCTAATAATAATACAGTAAACATTTTGTAAGTATGAAAAAAGAGATCCAAGATAACTTTTGCTTGAATATGTAGTATTATAGCCTTTTAATCCTCAATTTGCTTTATACATTACAAATATTATGAGACAAATTAAAGATTAATTGAAATGAAAGACATGTTGATACACATCCTTTTATATATCTATGTTTATTTTTTTAAAAAAGGCTATCCTGTTTCCTCAAAGAATTTCATAGGTACACCCAAGATAACAATGAAATGCAGACATTTTGCATGGCACATAAGATTCATATTTATGAAGACTGGGACTATCACAGTCTGAGTTACCTCAGCATTTTTTCATCAAATGGAACTTGTAATATTTAAAGTAATAGTGTTTTTACTTCACTCATGAAGCATTTGAGATAAAAATGTTACTAAATTCCTCCTTCAGTGTCTCAGCATATTTGAATTTCAGATGCTCTGTGAGATACAGTTGCTTATATCATCTTTTGTTTTTTTTTTTTTTTAATCCAGTTGAATATAATCTGGATCATCTGAAAGTTTAGGCTTTGTGGTAATGCAAGTTCCTTTATAGAATGCCTGGGTGATGGCGCTTTCTTTTATTATTCTCACACACACACATATGTATATATACATGCATGTATAAATATAAAACAGGATAGCAGGGGAAATGTATATATTAGAACAGACAATCATTGTAATATTACTCATTAACAAGCAGTGTGGAACCAATTTTAAGTGTCTGGACTAGGAGTTTGAGGCTACAGAGAGGTTCTAAATTTTTTTTTAATAATTTTTTGGTTGTAGATGGACACAATACCTTTATTTATTTTATTTTTTAAAATATTTATTTTTTAGTTGTAGTTGGACACAATACCTTTAGTTTATTTATTTATTTTTATGTGGTGCTGAGGATTAAACGCAGGGCCTCAGATGTGCTAGGCAGGTGCTGTACCACTGAGCTACAACCATAGCCCCAGGTTCTAATTTTTTTAACGGATCAGATTTTGCAGGGTTTTTTTAAACAGATATCATCCCATTCCTTTGTATAAAGTATCAAGCAAGCAACCAATAAATCCCCACATGTAATTAATACATCAAAATTTTGTGGACTTATTTCTAGTTGGAAAAAAATAACCAATATTTAATTTGTGAGACAAAGAAAATTCTGAATTCCTTGTTAAGATTTAGCTCTTACC